TTATGACAATCGTTTTTTTTTTTTTTTTTTTTTAACTCTCCTGACAGAGTGGTCTTTCTCACATAGCAAGAGCTCAAAATGTACATTTTAAAGCAGCAGTTAATTAAGTCAAAATGGACAATTCTGTCTTTAGATGATTATTAAGTTTGAACTATTAATTATAGATATAATTTACAATTTTTGACGTCTTTTCTAGATCAATGAACGAGTTGGTTTGTTTACATTTTGTTTTACGACTAATATGTGGCGTCTATGCATAGTTTTATTGCCATTTAGCTTGATGTGTTGTAAATATTTGGCCTGAAAACTGCGATCGATAATCTTGAGGAGTCGTGACGTCACGTAGGCTGTTTAACCCTGTAAGAAAACACGTTTCTGGTAATATTGTCTATTTTATGTTTTAAATAAATTCACCTGTGAGTGCTGTATTTATAACGGAGGAAGTACTCAAAATTACAATACTTTTAGTCTGATTTTAGTTAGATTTATCTGATTTGTTGTAAATATTCAGCCTGAAAACGGCGATCGCTAATCGCTGTGGCGTCAAGACGTCGGAGGCTTTTAACCCCTTCGCGTTTAGAAGACACATTTCTAAAAATATATATTTTTTTTTAACTCACCTGTACAGAGTGCTGTGTGTCATTTTAAAGTAGTTCAGCCAAAATGGACAATTCTGTCATTATGTTGTATATATGTATTATGAGAGTTTGTTGTTCCATCTACTGTGGACCAAATTGTATCTGTAGATGGATGGTTTATCTGCTGTAATAAGATAGTAGCCTTCTCTAACTTTCTCCTTTGTTGTCTAGATTAGAGGAACTTGTGAACCAGTGGATTTGGCGGCAGGATTTCTGGCTTCCTCCTGGCGTTACATGGAAAGACATCGCTGAGGGGACGGCGGATGGAAGTCGTTGTCCCGCTCATCTCCCTGCCCTTGGCCCTGGGTTTCATTGCACTGCGGTTTGTTTTCGAAAGGTACATATCAATATTACATCAATATTCACATTATGAGTGAATTTTAAAATGAACCGGCGCAAACTCTGATCGGTCCTTCAGGACTTTCTAACTTTAACTAGGATGTATTATTCAACAGTTTGTCTTTGAATGATTGAAATGAGGATATCAGGCTGAAGTTCAGTGTGTCGTTCTGACAGAATGAAAGTGGAGTATTGTTTTCTCATGGTTTTGTTGTCAATATTTCCTTGTAACAAAAACCACTGGTGCAGGCTGCTATTTTTACACTGTCGCCATTATCTTTTTGCAGTGACTGGATACTCAATGCACTTGTTTATTTTTTCTACTAAAGAACTGTTTGTTTATTTTGTGTACATGGGCAAATATTACTAAGAAATATTTGTTTCAAATAGAAATCGAAGTCATTCATTTAATTTATTTTCTTAAAAAACCCACAATCATTCTAAAAAACAAATAAAATAAATGCAATTTAGAACATTATTATATTATATTATATTATATACTACCATGGTGTGTGTGTGTGTGCGTATATATATATATATATATATATATATATATATAATTTTACAAATATGTATATATATTTTTCAAGATATATGTATATTTTTAAAAGATTATCATATAAAAATATAATAATAATAAAAAGTAGCCTAATAGTATATAGTAGTAATATGTTGTATATTAAATGTTATAATATATAAATATAATATATTAAGTAATCACATAAATATTTAAATTAATTAACTTTATACCTAAATAACTAATTAAATTTTTTTAAATCATTCAATCTGAATAATTATTAAATCACCGAACAAATGAATACATTTTAGTAATGAAAAAGCATGACATATAATTTAAGAAACAATTTATTAACAGTTTAACAAAATGTACATTTTTAGGGCCCTATGAAATACGTTTAATTTTTTTCTCAAATTCTGTTCATTTTTTACCAAATTATGTGTTCTCCATTTAAAAAATTTTTTTATTCAATTTTAATGGTTTATTTATTGTTTATTTTTCTGGTGAATGATGGCATAACATATTAATTTCATTTATCCTTTAATCAAATTAAATTTAAACCCTTTTTTGGCAAACAAAGTGCTGCACAGCAGAGGATTACTGTTAAAATTAAAACATGGAAAAAAATAGTGATTATTCCTTTAATAAATATAGTTTTAATACTAATAAAACAAAAATTTTATGGTCCTGTTTGCTATCTTTGTTCATCTGCAAAGTCCACATAAGGTAATCAGACTTCATTGTGGACGTTTTTAACACATAAATACTGAAAAACACGATTCTGACAGTTTCTTGTGGAATTTATTTTAGAAGTTGCTTCATGTTCTTTTTTGCTTCAGGGGTTAATAAATACCAGGAAATACATGCATATGTATATAGCAAGTTCCTCTTATTGAAACAGAATAAAGCACATAAATGACTTTCAGTATATAAAGAAATAATAAAAGATATATAAAGAAATAACTAATGTTTTGTTTTTGCTTGATTTGCAGTCTGCCAACTAAGATGTTTAATTATGCTGGATGGAGAAAGACCTGCGATGCATTGTTTGTCATTTTCGCCGCTGTATTCCTGGTAACCCGCCTCGTGGTTTTTCCATGCAGGTAATAACTTCATCAGACTTCATTTTTCATTTGATGCTGACTTCAAATGATTTTGAATATGTTCTTTTCAAATCTAAGACATTCAGATGAAGATTTATGAACCGTATTTTAGTTCATTTCCAGGATCGTCTACACAGCTGTGGTGGATTCGTTGGACGTCTTTCCTCCGTACCCTGGTTATTATTTCTTAAATGGCCTGTTGCTGGTTTTGCAAGCTCTGCACATCTTCTGGGCTTGGTTGATTCTTCGAATGGTTCACAAATTTGTTTTTTTAGGCAAAGTGAGTATCTTAAGTTAATGTTAATCTTAAGTTTAAGATTAGTATCTTAAGTTTATCTTGAAGTTAATGAGGTTATCCCCCTATTTTCTAAGTTTGAAAACAAACGTGTTTTTAAGGTGGAACGTGATGAACGGAGCGATGAAGAGAGTGAAGCTGATGAAGAAGAAGATGAAGGTGGAGAAGAAGTACACACCTGGGAGCAGAAAAAGGGTGCCCTTAACTCAAAATTGGCATTGTTGGCCAATAACTGTGTTCTGAACAATTTAACGAATCCGAGGCGAAAAATGAATAGTAGAACTCCAAAAGCCAGATAGCAATGCTACTTTATGTATTTAAACGTGTTAAATCATCTCCAACTTTCTTGGCTTACCTTGTTTGTCAAGGTCCTACTGCAATTGTTTTGGCTGCGTGAAAACATAATGCGTAGTCAGTAGATTGCGTAAAACAAAAAATACTACTAGTTTGTATTATTACATTACCATTGGAGTCTATCCTAAATAGGTTAAACTTTAATTTGTTTAAAGTTAGTGTAATTAATTATAGTGCATTGGTTGAGTAGCACTTTAACTCAAAATTAATTGTTAACGTACATAAAAATTGTTCATGAACTGACATTTTTAGTATTAATTGTTGAAGTGTTGTTTAAGTTAGTTTACTCATTACTGAACATGTTTATTATGGAACAGTGATATGTAAAAAATAATATGTCAGCAATCCTGACTAGAGAGACCCGCAACATTTAGATGCAATCTTTTAAAATCCTCTGTAGAAAAAAAAAGAAGAGATAGTTGTGTGGAAATTATGAATTTTCTGCAGTGGCTATTTGTTTCAAAATGGGTATTGGTGGACCTTTAGGAAAAACTTAGGGCGCCATCTAGTGGTGAAATGTCCACTTGTCTTTGTGATTCTGCTAATGAAAGATTTTGTTGCAAGGAAATACTGGAGCTTGTTGTGTTTTATAAGATGGCATTTTTTTGTTGTGCATTGCCTTACCAAATGAGGAATCAGATGATTTCTCACCAGAGCATGTGCCTCAAAATCTTAAAAGTCAAAGGGGGTAGTTGAATTTGAGGACGCCTATGTAGGCCCCTTGATTTCTTGAATATTGAATCTGCTCCAAGGGCTAAAGGCAAAGTGTTTTTGTTGTTCTAGATGGAGCTGGAAAGTTTATTTGCACAGTAGCCATAACTGACCTTTCATTCAAAAGCTGTGTGTCTGTCTTACACTGTTTATAACTTATGAAAGACCTGTGATTGTTTTTGTATGAATTTTCCTCTTTTTATTGGGATTTACCGTGTTCTGAGTTTGTTAATGCAACATTTTGTAGTTGTTATATATCTTGTAACAATGACAGAAGAGGAATATATTCTTATAATCTTCAGTACTGGTAATAATGCATACTTGCTTCTCGTCCGCTATTTTATTTGAATAACAATAAAAATGTTTTAGAATATGATTATCCTCAACTTTGCTCAACAAAATGTTTTTGCATTGGTTTAATACTTTGCATGAAAGGATAGTGTTGACATTATGGCTTTAGAAAGGACCAACATGCATTGTGACACAACCTCTTATGGGGACAGGACAGGGTATTTTATCATCAATTTCCAAGCAAGTGTCAGTGTAAGGGTCTAGTAAAATCATGTTTGGGTACGTTTTGTTTATCTTCCTCTCACTCAGTATGTAAATCTGCCCGTTCACTGTGGCACAGCCTGTGAAGAATTTGTTGTCCAGACAGTCCTCTTGAAGAACGGTCCACTCGTCTGTGTCGATGTCTAGACGTAGAGCCTGTCCTCCCAGCAGATAGAGGGCACCATTGAGCTCAGTTGCAAGAAGGTCGTAACTGGAAAAGAAGTACACATGTATCCAACAAGATGTTACTTGGGTTTACCAAAGTGTGCAAAACTGATACAAGACTATTTATGGTGGCATCTGTGGAGAGAATTGCCTTGTAAAGGTGGGCAACTCTAATTAGGGTTGGAGCTAAACTCAAGAGCCAATCACACCTGCCTACAATCTATGCTAAAATCTGCAGGGCAGTGAACCTTGAGGGCCAGAGTTGATCAAGCCTGGTTCATAACAAGTTGGACACAATTGCGTTTACTCACCGTGGAAACGGAGAATAGGATACCACGTCCCATTGATCAACCTCTGGCCTGTACCTCTGAATCCCACTGTAAACATCCCCATTCTCATCTAGACCACAGGCCACATAAATACTAGTCCCCAAAGTGACAGTGGCCGCCCTTTCCACAGCCCGCACCATGGGGCTGACGGTGTCCCATTCCTTGGCTCCCAAAACCAGCCTCTCCACGTCAGCCACAGGTCCCTCATCCATGCTACCGCCAAACACAAACAGCTGGAACTCCAGAGCTGATGAGCAGTGGCTGTGCCTGGACTTCTGCATTGCCGGGCCGTCCACCCATCGCTTGTCGCCATGCTCGTAAATGCTCACCCAGTCCACACTATACCATAACACGTCCCGGAAGTAGCCTCCAGTCACTACTATGTTTTCCCCTTAGAGCAAGAAATAATATTTTAGATGGTGTGGACAGTAAGACAATGAAATCGAAATGCCCAATTCTGATTCTGGAGATCTACTTTCATGCAAAGTTCAGCTCCAATCCAGTGTTAATTTCTTTGACGAATAATTTTCGTCAACGAAATTTTTTTCACTGACGACAACGAGACGATAACGAACTAAAACTGTTTTTGAATGACAAAAACTATGACGTAAATCTATTGACATTTTCGTCAACGAATAAAAAGGTTTTATTTAATTTTAACATAAAGGAATGTTGTGTGTCACTGCAGTTACATCGTTGTCTATCATGATAAAACCTTAATATCAAACCTATATAATGAGTTTGGAAATTTTAGAGAAATGCTTAATAAATGCACTGTAACTAAACCCATTAGATTTTAGCTGACTACATTTACTGTAGATTTAGTCGACTAAAATCTTATGATATTAGTCGACTAAAACTAGACTAAAACTAAAAACAATTCAGATGACTAAAATATGACTAAAACTAAATGGCATTTTAGTCAAAAGACTATGACTAAAACTAAATCAAAATTTGCTGTCAAAATTAACACTCCTCCAATCCTTATCAAACACACCTGAACTAGCTCATTAAGATCTTCAGAAACATGTGATAGTTACAAAACAGATATATTGGAGCACTGAAGGTAGATCTCCAGAAACAGGATTCGGCACTCCTGACTTAAAAGTTTCATTTTGGAAAGGGCATGCAACACCTGAACAAGCATGATCCAGGTAGATCATTATGCTAACAACTTGTGGCAGGTTAAAATGTATAGGATCAGCTGAGGTCGTTACCTACTGCAGCCACAGAGTACTGTGTGAGACACTTCTTTTGCAAGGGTGGATGGGATTGCCACCTTCCACTGTAGGGGTGAAACTGATACAGCAACTGTGTTTCTTGCTCATGCGGTCCACCGAGAACAAACAGAGTTTCTCTTGAGCGGGCTCTAGGCATGGACCTGCCCATAGTCCAACTGCTGGGCAAGTTATCGTTCAGTCTACAAATGAGCTTGGCACGTGGGTCTGAACTGTTTATCTTGGACAGAAGGTCAGTAATGTAGGGAAGACTTAAGCACTCGGGTCTAACCAGACCCACCAGTTCCATGAAGTCCTCTTCCCGACTTGGGTCAAACGTTGCCCAGCGAAGGGCCACGTCAAGAGCCAGGTCTTCCTTGGGAATGCTTAAGTTGTCACTAGCAAGGAGGTCAGCAATGCTCTCCTTCGGAAGGAACATAAAGTCTTGCTCGGAGGCTAAGGCAGGTAGGTGGGTCAAGACGACATCCCTTGCTGCTGCGTAGAGGTCCAGACAGCCAAGCTGCCAAGCATATGCCATCATTCCCAAGCAGTTACTAAGATGCAATTGCCTTTCCAAGAACTTACAGCAGAGTAACCGAGCCCTGTCCAACTGGAGGAAGTCAGCAGCCTCCAGAATTTCAAGGACATTCTTGCAGTCTAATTTCAGCTTCAAGTTCTTTGTGAACTCCATTAGAGTCTGAAACTGCTGCAGTCCAACTCCTTTAATCTCAATGTGCTTTCTGGTGCTCTCACGACCACCGCCAAAAAACAAGGCTCGGAAGTAGGGACTCATCTGGGCCAAATACTCACGGTTCACAAAAAACAACTCCCCCTCCACCTGGAGCACTGTGTCAGGAGCTACATTGACAGTATCCTGGTCCTCTTCAACTAAATCTTTCTCAGCTCCTAAGCTCGGGTCATGGGTACCTCTGTCTTGCTTTGCACAAGCCATGATTGTGCACTCCCCCTCCCAACACTCACTTCTCTGCTGAAGTGTGTCATGTGACAATTATATCCTTGCTCTAGCTTGTCACTCACTCTCCATGGGAATGGGGTCCGCAAGCAAATAGCTAAATATATCTCAGTTAAAGTGCTAGAGAGACCCAATTTCACAAAGCACACAAAGGCTTTTGTAAATATTTAGGGTGTATCTTTCTAGGATTGTTGTCCTATTTGGACAACAAGTCCTTAATTGTCTCAAACTCATCAAAAATGAAATGGGCTTTCAAAAGATTGCCTTCCTCCCCGTCGGGGAATTGAACCCCGGTCTCCCGCGTGACAGGCGGGGATACTTACCACTATACTAACGAGGAGTGAGCTGAAAATGTGGCCAGTAGATGCCTTGTGAACTTACACCTGGGTTCACATAACATTGACTGGAATTGTTTTTTGGAAATGTTTTGTGAACTCCATTAGTGCATGGAACTGCTGCGGTCCAACGCCCTTAATTTCAATGTGTTTCCTGGTGCTTTCCCTACCACCGCCAAAAAACAAGACTCAGAAGTAGGGACTCAGCTGGGCCAAATGTTCACGGTTCACAAAGAACAACTCTCCTTCCACCTGGAGCACTGTGTCAGGAGCAACATTGACAGCATCCTGATCCTCTTCAACTAAATCTTTCTCAGTTCCGATGCTCTGGTCCCTTTCTTGTTTTGTCCAAGTCGATACCACAACAAACCACAAGGGGTAGATGTTGGACGACTGAGCATGTCTAACCCATATATAGTGTATATTACTTTGGGAGTTTATTACTTTTGGGGGTTTTGTGGTATGATCTTGTCATATAATGAAATTTGAAGTTCAAATGTTTGACTTTCGGTATAACACCACAATACTGTGTAAATAGTTCTGGTTGGCTGTTCACAATGCAAATGATTATGGTTAAATGCTGTTAAATACGTTCTCACCCTCTTGCAGAAGTGTAGTAGTTTTAATATGGGGCTTTTTTTGAATCATCTAAGTTTAAGTTCTGTGTGCATCTCAGAACAAAAAGTTTTTTTTATCTTGAAATATCACTCCTCTATGTCTAGAGCAGGGTTGCCCAAACTCGGTCCTGGAGGGCCGGTGTCCTGCAGAGTTTAGCTCCAACTTGCCTCAACACACCTGCCTTTAAGTTTCTAGTATGCCTAGTAAAAGTTTTATTAGCTGGTTCAGGTGTGTTTAATTGGGGTTGGAGCTAAACTCTTCAGGACACCGGCCCTCCAGGACTGAGTTTGGGCAGCCCTGGTCTAGAGCGTTGCAACTATTAAAACACGAGCATGATTTTGTGCTTGCAGACCAACTCCCTTAATCTCAATGTTCTGTCCACTTCCGAAAAATGAGGTTTGGAAGTATGGATTTAGCTGGGCCAAAAGCTCACAGTCCACAAACAACTCCTCGTCCACCTGGAGCACATCATCAGAAGTGACACTGATGTCAGGTGGAGGAGCATCCTGATTCTCCACCTAACCTTAACTAAATCTTTTTCTGTTCTTAAGCTCTACTCATAAAAAAATTTAATTGTCTTAAACTCATTGAAAATGAAATGAGTTTTCAAAAGATTGCCATTCTCCCCGTCGGGGAATCGAACCCCGGTCTCCCGCGTGACAGACAGGGATACTTACACTTGAGTTCTCGCAACATTAACAGGAACTACTATCAATATTTTTTAAAATTGGGTTATCATGGTTTTTATGGTAATTACAATTCAAGCACAATGTAAATACTGTGGAATATATATGGGAATCTCTTAAAGGGTTAGTTCACCCCAAAAATGAAAATTCTGTCATTAATTACTCACCCTCATGTCGTTTCAAACCCGCAAGACCTTCGTTCATCTTCGGAACACAAATTAAGATATTTTTGATGAAATGTGAGAGCTCTCAGACCCTGCATAGACAGCAACGCTACTGAAATGTTCCTAGGTCCAGAAACGTAGTAAGGACATCGGTAAAACAGTCCGTGTGACATCAGTGGCTCAACTTCAGTTTTGCGAAGCTATGAGAATACTTTTTGAGTGCAAAGAAAACAAAAAGAAAAAAATGTTCAACAATTCTTCTCCCCCGAGTTACGTCTTTCGCCATTTTAGAGTATCACAACGCATACGCACGCTTTCCCCTAAGCATAAACAACACTGATTACGCAGATTACGTTCATGCGCGCGCTTTCGCCCCCGAACGTAAACAACCCTGATTACGTTGATTACGCTCTTGGGTACTCTCCAAAATGGCGGAAAACGTAACTTGGGGGAGAAGAATGGTTAAATAAATTGTTATTTGTGTTTTCTTTGCGCTCAAAAAGTATTCTCGCAGCTTCGCAAAATTGAAGTTGAGCCACTGATGTCACACGGACTGCTTTACCGATGTCCTTACTACGTTTCTGGACCTGGGAACGTTTCAGTTGCGTTGCTGTCTATGCAGGGTCTGAGAGCTCTGCGTTCCGAAGATGAACGAAGGTCTTATGGGTTTGAAACGACATGAGGGTGAGTAATTAATGACAGAATTTTCATTTTGGGGTGAACTAACCCTTTAATACCATAGTATTTTTTGAAAGCACACTTTTTGGGGTTGTAGAAGCATATGGGCCGTCTGATTATGGATCCACTACTAATGAATGAAACCAGACAGCTGAAGCAGTATCCAGTATTTGGAGACTTCAATGAAGCTTTTTAAAAGCAATTTATTTCACACACCACTGAAACAATACATTCATAAACCACTCAGCAAACCCTTTTGTGCTGATGCATTTAAGACCAAACTCCTCCATGTTTACTTTCTCCACACATCAAATCCCCCAAGATGAAAAAAACTATATAAAATGCTGAAATGAAAATCCAAAACTGCATCACCTAGTGTAAACAGGGCGCTCAGTCTTGCCTGCACCTGTCAGAACACCTATAGATTTTTCAACGTCCTCGATAAAAATACCCTTCCAGCATTTTTAACTCAAAACTATAGGAGCAGGACACATCATTTATATAAAAAATATATGCATTCTGTATCCACTTCAAGCATTGCATCTAGCTCTGTGATTTCATCTATTTCCAGTTTCTAATTATGTTTGGCACTGTCTTAAGTGTGCAACAGAGACCAAGACAACACGGTTTTCTCCTTCACTCGAATATGTACAAATATTCAAATTACAATGCATATTTTTATGATGTTTTCGAGACCCGCTGAGACACTCGACCACATTCAGATGCTTCACCACATTAAATACCTACGATTGTTGCAGCATTTCGGGCTCCATTCAAAACCACTGCTCATTTAGATTCTACTCCATACTGAACTGGTTATAGCGGGAACTTTAAAGTTAAAAGTGATAGTTCACCAAAAAACGTGATAGTTCACCAAAAAACGAAAAATTTTGTTGACCCTGAAATTTAGTATTTGTAATAATTATCATTACTAGTGTTATTTATGCTATATATATAAGCAATAAATTAAAATAGCATATGTAGTTACTTTAATTATAATAAATTTCAATATAATAATAATAATAATTAATAAACACAAAATTATAATTGATCAATTATTGTCAATTCACAAATTAATTTTTTTAATAATTATATTAACAATTTAATAAATAAGTATATATATATATATATATAATTATTAATACTTCTAGCAGTTGTTTTATTTGATCATTTTATCATATACAGTGGGGCAAAAAAGTATTTAGTCAGCCACCAATTGTGCAAGTTCTCCCACTTAAAAAGATGAGAGAGGCCTGTAATTTTCATCATAGGTATACCTCAACTTTTGTTTTGTTAATAAAAGTTCTATGTTTTATATATAGACTAAAGTGAGTTTGACGTTGTATTTTGTTGTTGCATTCAAGCAATTGACGCCGAACTGCCGCTAATTCGAAAGTGAAAGTAAAATGTGCACGGTGCTTTTAAGCTATTTATAAATGAAGGAAAGCGAGAAAGAGGGAACGCCCCCGCCCCGCGGTGATACCGTTATTACCGGTGTTGTCACACGTCGATTAACCAGTGGGAACATTTCTTCACCGTCACAACCCTAAAATACACTAAGCATAAATAGTATTTAACATTATTTGTACTTAGTGTAAATTTGTGTTATTTTTGTTTAATTCGAATTTAATTGAAATAATATTAAAGTTTGTATTAATATTTTGAATTATTTTTTTATTTTTATATTTTTTGTTATTTAAATTGTAGTCTTAGTAATAGTAATTTTGTTGTGTTTTTGTCATTTTTATAAGTTTTTTTTTAAATGTCTATTTTTTTTTAAATTTCAGTCTCAAACCCTTCTAAAGGTTAAAATGGGTTTCTCACACTTCCTTTTTTGTTTTAGCAATTGACTAATAATCCAAAAAAACTAACACCCAAAAACATCACTTCACAGACTTTGAAATTCATAATGAAGGAAGTCTACTAAACTTTTGAGTCCTAAATTTCCTAAGTTTTCATGTATCTCATATTTTAGTCTTTGTCAAGCTACAATAAAGGTTTTCTGTTTTTCACCTGACTCTTTGCTGTTTTTTTATTTTTGGTGAATTGCATGGAAACCAATGAGGGTCAATTTGACCCCAACACCACCAAAATGTGTACAGCCTTTCCAAAACACATCTATGTGTTGAGACTTTGCACACACATTCATGACACAAAATGAGAAAAAGCCACCAAATTTCAAGAAGTAATAAATAGTTTAACCAGTGTTTCAAACTGTTTAAAAATCAAACACAGTATGAAAGTTGAGTTTAAAAAACATTGTAAAATTTACACGCATCACCTTCAAGTCCAAAGTTCAAATTCACAACTCAATAATGCTAATTTGGGGGCATGCTTTATAGAGATATTGACCTTTATGCTTCCTCACTGGCCTAATGTACAGAACGCCAGCGACGCTAAATTAGCGTAAATAGTCAAGACTCCGCCATCAGCTGTGCTACCGAAATAACGTTTCAGCGAATTAGCAAGAAGCTGGCAGCTGCAGGGCAAATGGGCGTCTATTTCCACACGTCGTGAACAAAAGGTCACTCACCGGTGGTGTCTGGCGGCGGCTGAGGTCGCTGTGGTGCTGGAGGCGTGGGGTTCGACACTGGTGCGGGCCGCACTACTTCCTGTGGCGGCTGCTCGGATTCTGTGGGAATACCCTGAGGAACGGACATTAACGGATTGATCATTTGTGTTGTTTAAACAAGGTACTATTCCAGGTCCTTTCTTCTTTATTAATACACATTAATTATGTATGCAATTCATTGGTGCAAGATATTTTATAAAATGTGACCCTGCAGCACAAAAGCAGTCTTAAGTCGCTGGGGTATATTTTTAGCAATAGCCAACAATACATTGTATGGGTCAAAATTATAGATTTTTCTTTTATGCCAAAAATCATTAGGATATTAAGTAAAGATCATGTACCATGAAGATATTTTGTAAATGTCCTACCGTAAATATATCAAAACTTAATTTTTGATTAGCAATATGCATTGCTAAGATTTCCTTTGAACAATTTTAAAGATGATTTTCTCAATATTTAGATTTTTTTGCACCCTCAGATTCCAGATTTTCAAATAGTTGTATCTCGGCCAAATATTGTCATATCCTAACAAACCATACATCAATGGAAAGCTTATTTCAATTCTCAAGAATCTCAAGAAAAATTGACCCTTATGACTGGTTTTGTGGTCCAGGGTCACAAAAAAAAAAAAATCAATAAAACCGTTTCTCAATGTTATAAATTTACATTAATTAAAATTATAATTACTATAAATTTTCATTTAATTAATAATTATATTTATACTTATTATTTATAATAATAAATAAATAATTCTTTTATTTCTGCTTTTTGAAAAGCAATTATACATGACCATTAGACTGCAACAATAGAAAACATATGAATTATGCATATTGTAGCAGTAATATTAATATGTATTTAAATAATTTATCTATTATTAAATGAAAATTTACTATTAATATGTATCATTGCTATTGTTGTTGTTTAAGCTATTTTATATCTATATATATATATATATATACACAATTATATTTATATATTTATGCAACATTGGTGATCTAAATGGTTGCAAACATTTATTTATTTATTTAATATATTAATTATTTTATATGTATTTAAATAAAAAAATATATTTAATAGTACAATTAATTTTAGTATTAGTATAAATATCAATCATTATAATTATCATTACTATTGTCGTTATTTATACCATTATAGAAAAAAAAAACACACACACACATTCATTATTTGCATATGTTTATGTAAAATTGTTTGGTGATTTAAATGGTTGCAAATATAATAAGCTATTTTACCAAACAAATGGACAGAATATTAAAGAGTTGCAAAGTGCAAATATCAATAAAAGTCCCTGATCCGAAGTAAAATGGGTTGAAAATGTCATTTCATGCTGACTTCGAGCAAGACTAGTTATATTAGTTCTCCCAGTATTTTCTGGGAATAAAACATCTGCAGCTTTACTATACTAAGTAAATTAGTAACTCTCACCATAAGCAGGTACTCCACGGCTCTGTCCGGATTGTTGAAGCTTGCTCGTAAGGCAGAGATCACCTGCTCTCTCTCATAACCCATTGACATGATTTCCGTCACCAAATTCTCATACGCTTGACCTGTGACTAAAGAAACGCAAGGCGACAGATGTTAACGTTAAGTTCTTCTCTCCTTTACCTGGTTTATAACAAAACCGAAAACCAAACGTACCTAGTATGGACGCAGCTGCTTCTAAAAGACCCAATTCATCTGTAATGCTGAACAAAACACACAACAAATTGAGGATTTTTCATTCTTTAAAGGTGACATATCATGAAAATCTGACTTTTTCAGGTTTTAAGTGCTATAATCAGGTCCACGGTGCATCTACCAACCAAGGAAACGTGAAAAAGATGAACCCAATCACTTTGTTTAGGTAAGCCTTTTTCTGCAAGCGTCTGAGAAAACGAGCGCATCAGATTTCGCTCCCTTGGTGACGTGGCAAAGGGATCTCATTATAATATTACCGCTCCTTAATCTGTAAGTTTACACCCACGACGCCGTCATTTTGATTTCGCAAGCGACAGCGGTGTACCAGCTCTAATGTCATCGCGAAAGTTT